TATATATATATATATATATATATAGGTCAGATATTTTTGTGTTTTTTTTCCCTGTCAATATAACATGCAGTATATTTCAGCACATGATTTTTTTCAAATGACAAATATTGCAAACACTACAAAAACGACAGCGTCAAAATTTACTACATTGACATTTCAGAGTGAATTACTTTCTATTTACTCTACTTTCTATTTTCTAATGTTAGACACAATTTTAATGGCTAACTCAGCTAATGTCTTCAAGTCAGTCTGAGATAGCCAGACTAATGTTACGCTACATACTATACTATAGAAAAGATGGGCGTATGAAGGGCATATATGGATTTTCTTGGTTTGTGCATCTGCTGACTGTAAAATTACCTGTGAAACATTTTCCCAGAGCCAGAAAACTGCCAAATTCTAAACACGTAGTCATTTTTATGGCACGTCTCCGTGAGAATGGAGAGATCAGCACATTTTCCCACGCTAGAGAAAGTACCTGACAGTTCACAGTGGCCAAGGGAGCATCCAAGCCAATAAAAAAGATGAAACTCTAGAGTCAAACTTGTGTGCTTTTGGTTAGCACAGTGGAAAATCAAAATGAAACTGCAGTCATGATTGTTTTTGTATGGTAAAGAAAAAAATCTATGTAGCTTATTGGTTGATAAAAATATGAACTTTAACCTTTGAAAATTGTTGACATTCTTTGGGTTTAAGTTAAATAAGCTTGCAACTGGACTTATGTAGATCAAACATTTTGGTAGGTGGAGTTAGACCAGCAGGTGGAGGAAGTAGATTGTTATAAATCCAGAGAAATATACAGGAGAAAAAAAGGAGGAAGACATTAACATGTGGCTAAACAGAATCTGATCAAGTAAGATTATTAAATTATGGCACATGTTGCAAGTTGTATGCCGTGTAAGCCAATTAATAATTTGGATTTTGATTCATCTCATACTAAAGGGAAAATAATGTTAAGAGTGGTCTGAACCAGCTGAGCATGTTAATGTTGCAAGCTAATTATTGTGATTTATTAGACTTGCTGAAAAAGCACCCAGTAAAATAAATTTCTAATGCCAGAGTAAAAATAATTTCCTGCCTTTTCAACCGTTACCAGCTGAAGTGCTCCATTTTGCACTACGCATGTTACATACATAGAGTTTCAGTTTGTTCTGTTAAAGTCCATAAAAAACGTCTTGTTTCACTAATAGAAAAGCTAGTTTTTGAAAATAACTTGACTCTGTTCCTCTACTATATTGACACGTTAAAGCAAATATGAAGTCGGAAAAAGATCAGTACTGTGATTAAGTTCAATTTATATAGCGCCAATTCACAACACATGTCATCTCAAGGCACTTTACAATTCAACCAGATGATGCAGTCAAGATAATTTAGTTTTCAATCTAACGAAAACCAGCTGAATGCATTGACTCATTGACTGGAAGGCAAACCTTCACACCAAGCATGCTTGTAGCGGAGAGGAAAAACTCCCTTTTAACAGGAAGAAACCTCCAGCAGAACCAGGCTCAGTGTGAGCGGCCATCTGCCGAAGCCGGCTGGGGTTCAAGGAGACAGAAGCAGAGATACAGAAAGAAGCAAAGATACAAAAGGCAGCTGTTAGGTTGTTATTGAAGTTGCCTCTTTGCTGCAGTTAGCTAGTGAGCATTTAGTCTTGGATTCTTTTTTTCTCTCCCTTACCCTCCTGCTTACTATACATGGTGGAGAGATAAACATGAGGCCTGTTGATTCAAATGTTCAAATAATTTCACAATCTTTTGGTAACTTTAGGCAAGTAAGCTCCTTTTTTTTATATTCCAGATCGGATAAAAATCTGCTTTGCTAGAAAAGCAGGTCATGTGGATTGATGATTAAATGTTCCTTTACTCACTTAGCATTGGTGATTGTAGACCTGGATATTTTCTGCTTTAAATTGAATGAAATTAAATTAAAAGCTGGTTGATATAACTGACCAGGGGCTCTGTTCTCTATAAGGCTAAAAGCAAAAATGCTGATTTAGGGTTGTATACAGAGACTAAAAGGAGTACATGACCTCTAAACAGTTGAGGGCTGAGCTAATAAATTATGTAGAGCATTTCAGAAATCTGCTTGCTATCAGTCTGGTTTACTCAAACAGTAACTAAATAATGGATGAAGGATGTCTGTGAGAGATATATTGTACGTTATAATAGTTCAGACTCATCCTTTTTTCATTTTATACCATTGATTCTTTTTCCTTTAGGCCTCCGACAGGACTATGCCTCTACCTCAGCCACAGCTGGCCGTCGCAGCTCCAGTTTCTCCTTGCACTCCCTCAGGCGCTGTGAGATGGACCTTGAGGAGGAGGATGAGGAGGATGAGGGCTACGACCAGCTGCCGCCTCCCCAGCCTCGACTCTTCCGTACAGGCTCTATGCAGCGGGGCGGCATGCCCCACTCCCACACCTTCTCCAGCTTCAGAGATTGCAGGCGCAGCTCGGCCAGCCCTCAGTTTTCACTCAGCGGACTCTCTCAGCTGTCTGGACCCTCCAGCTTGATCACAGACACACACTCAGCCTACAGGAGCAGCACAGGTGGGTGTAGAAGAAATGTTGAGCACTAAATATTCTTCCAAATATCTAGAAATTTTCATCCCCACATTAAAAATCACAGAATTTTGGAACTTCTGCATGCAGCTTCATTTTTCAGCCTTTTTTAAGCAGAAAGACGATATTGCAAAACCTGATCAGATCTGTTTATACTGTGAAATAGACAAGCTACAGAGAAGCATGCCCAACTTGATCCGAGCTCCCAGCATGCCCAGTGTTCCCAGTATGCCATGCCTGACCTCCCCTGCCAACCCACCCTCCAATGGCCCCTCCTCTCTGCCATCAATGCCCTCCCTCCGGAGCAGCCAGAGCTTTGACTCGTCCAGCGGGCTCCTCCGACTCCAGTCGTCCAGTAAGGCCCTTGTGTCTACCAGTAAACCAGACACATGGAGCTCATTTCTGCCATAAGCCAATCATATGTTTTTTCTTCATTGTTTTTAGTCCCTTCCCCAGGCCAACTCAGTCAGCGAGTCCAGAGCGTTGGAAACTTCTCCAGCACTCCACGACAGCAGCTGAAAGCTACAGCCTACGTCAGTCCAACGGTTCAGCAGGGGCCCACCTCCACCTCCCTGTCCACTTCTGCCAGTTTGAGCTCCATCCCAAGCAGCACAGCACTTCCCCAGCCCCTAAAAGCCAGCGGGAGTATGCTGCCACAAGCCCTAAAAGCCAACCAGCCGGCTGCCCTGCGCAGCTCCCTTCCTCGCCCAGCGTCCTTAGTGGGAGCGAGTGGACTTCCACGAGCGAGTAAAATCATGCAACCTACACGCAGGTATGGTCCAAAGCACCAGGTACGCATCTCTGAAGGTTCCGACTATGATCTGTTCCACATGCTGTGGCTCTACCCTAAACAGGCCATTCATGCACTGCACACAGTAATGCTAAACACAAAATATCTCAAACACTTAACAGCACTGGTTGGTCATCAAAAATGAAACAATGCAGTAGCAGTTACTCCATTCTGATTCACCTTTTATCCTAATGGGTGGAGGTAGTGATCAGACAGGAAACAATTGGAGAGGGAAGATATGCAGCAAAGGTTCTAATGTATTTTATTTAATCCAAGGTGAATAAAAGTAGGAATAATTGCCTCATTACAAGGGGATCCCCTAAACCAGAAGTCAGGCGTGGTTGTTTGATGATTGTTATCGGGCTGCCTGCTGTTTTATAGGGGGGGGGCAGCAGTTCTAGGCCATTCTGCCATAACATCCAGGGGAGTTTTGATAATTGGGAGGCTGTAAGCCAAAATACACTTTTTTGTTTTGAGAGCAAGCTGCACAGAATTTTCCATCAACCTTGAATTGTTTTGTCGCTGGGCTCCGAATAGCGAATCCAATATTCTGAATCTGACTGGCTTTTCCGCCATGAGGCAAGCATGCAAATCCAAGATATTATCCCATTTCACCTTCCAGTAAAACCACCGCTGCCAGCTTGCGTTCAATTGCACTCGGCATACGGCTCAGCTCACAGTCCTGCTCGTTTACAGCCTTTGTGAGCGTGTCAGTTTTATATCCTGTTTTTTTAACCATTTCAAAGTAAGTTATTGGCAAATATATAACTATATTTATTATTATTTTCTTCCAACCCTGATAAAAAAAATTATTGGCTTCAAAGTGAAGCTGCCTCTCCCTGTCTGTGTACCGCCCATTTCATATCAAAACACTTTGGAAACCTAAACAAAATCTGAGAATTTAAAACAAAAGAAAAATGTCCAGGACTTAGACATTAATTTAAAAAGAAACCTGCTGATCTGTGCTGATTAGCTGCTAAAAGAGCCACTCGGAAACATTGCATTCTACCTCACATCATTTCTCCCTGATGGGAGAAAGGGGGTGTTTGTTTACATTGCTGGTGCAGCACAGATGAGGCAGTTATTCGGAACCGCTCATTTTCACAGTTGAGGGAGGGGCTGCTGCTCAGACAGCAAAAACTCATGATGGATGCTCAGAGATGCATTTATCAAACAAAGTACCCCATTTGTGCATGATTCTGATGAAGGAACTGAATTAGAACATAGTTAGAAGTTTATTTTGCATGATATAGGTCCTTTAAATAAATAGCTACGCACTGTTTAGAGCCAGCTGGAGGGGTTGGAATAAGTATAAGTCCATCTCATCAGGATTTCCACAATGCAATCAAACTGTGTTAAAAATTGCTGCACTTTTTTTTATGCTTCTCCATGACTTGATCTGTTTGAAGAGAAGCTCCAGCAACTGTCTGATAGCACTAACTTGATGTAACCTTTTAGCTTTGGCTCTAGATAAGCCAGATGTACATATTTTGTAGCATCTTTTTTGTTATTATGTTCTGTTTTTTATGTCATGTTAGTTTGGATGCTCAATAGACTTGTTTCCTTCTGTCCACAGTTTGCTCGCCGCTCCAAAGAGCCTGGCTGCTCTGAGTGCCCTGAGGGACGGCAGCTGGAAGGACGGCTGCTATTGACCCCTAACGGACTGAGATGGAGGGAGGCTGAGGGCTGCACAGGGTTACCTACTGCTTAAAAGTGATGCTGCCACCAGATCCCACAGAAAGTGACTGTTAACGTGAACACAAAGATCTGCAATGTAACAGGGTTAGGGATCCAGCAGGCTGGATCTACACGCCCTGCTTAAACACCATAAAACGACAGGCAATACTCTGACAATAAGATGCTAAATGTGAACAGAAAAAAAAAAATCCTCCTCCATGCTTTGTTCATTTCTTTTGAGTTGCAGTTGTTGATAATATAACTTTAATACATTAAGCCTAAAGCTTACAGATTTTTTTTCTGTGCTTATTTTGGTGAGTATTATTAATTTGTCATTATATGCTATGATATATATAAACAGAACCTGAAACTGGAGTGAAATTACTGCCTGTTTAATTAAAAGTGGTGTTTTTTTTTTTTTCTTGATAGTTCTGTTTTACAGCTGGACTTTGCAGCACTTTATATGAGAATCATGATTCACCTGTAAAAGTAAATCACCTAATTTGTTTTTAATTTAGATGTAACATTCTTTTGTATTCGTGCTCAGATTTCATATTAAAGCGAGTTTTCTTTCATTTTCTGTTATTAAGTCTTTAAAGTTGTTTGGTAAACCTAAACACTGCAGTGATATTGCACATGCTTTTTATGAATCACAAACAAACAAGAGGGGCTTAATTTTTAAAATAAATTAATGATTTCAAAGCATGTTTGTCCGCTTCTTCTCTATCATAATACTACAAGGAACAAGGAGGATTTAAAAGCTTTTAAACCTTAAGTAAAGTGCAGATTTAGTTTTCATTTTTTATATATTGCCTCTATCGCTGCTCAATGCCCAAACAGTTATTTTTAATAATGAGAGTAAAATGCATTCAAAGCATCAAAGAACATCAATTTTCTTATGAATTTCAGAAACATCAATATCTAAAGAAAAAACAGAAATTGAAAAAAGAATTTTATAAATTAGGATTTGATATCTAAACAGTTGCTGAATGACAAAATATCTAACATTCGACTCTATTAATATATGTTTTTTTTTATTTATTTAAATCAAATTAAATTCAATAAAATTTGCATTATTGATTTTTGAAAGCTGGTGATTTTTTTGTGTGTTCTTTTAAAAAGAATATTTGACCTATTCAGGTTAGCACAAAAAAACTTTGTTTTTTTGTCCAGTTAAGAAAACCCAACTTTAAGGCAAAAATATTGTATTCAATGAACAAAGTTAAGATTACAAAATAGTGAAGCAATAATCTGATAATATAGCAAAATGGAGTTTAGGGAATTAACAAAGCTAAGTATTTTCTTCGGCTTACATGTTGGGCCTCAAGGCTCCATTTAATTGTATAAGACAAAGTTTCTCCATCTTTTTTGACTTGTGCACTACTTTGGACATTTTATCTAACCATGAGTACCCCCCTCAGTCAAAAGTATTGATGTTTGCCCAAAGGTTGATGTAGAAAAACAACATCAATTTGTTGCCCAGAAGCTAGTAAGGAATCAAAATAAATACAAAATAAAAGCATATTGTAAATCTGCCTTTATACAACTAGAGCTCTTCTGAGTAACTCCCCTATAATCACATATAAATTTGAAGAATTGGAAAGAAAATGTTTAAAAAAAATTATATTATTCAGACTGACTCCATTTGTTTTAATTTGATTTCAACATGGATGACACCTGAGCTTGCTTTGATTAGGTGTGGGGAAACAGCTGATCCCAGGCTGCGCTCTGCATCCAGTCTGTTCCTCTACTTGGTTCAATGTGTGTTAAAGCTGAAGGTGAACTCCAAGAAAAACTTGCCTTTTGGTTGAAAGAAAAAGCTTGTTTTATTTTCCAGTTGGGTCCTCACAAAGCAAAACTATTTTATTTTACAACCTAAGAAATAAAATATTTTCAAGTTCTCCATTGCAATGCACTCACAGACCACTACGGGTCCCCCGGTTGGGAATCACTGCTATAAGACCAAAATACGTACTTCCACAAGGTTCTTGAAGATTGCAGCTTGGCCTGGATGTTATAACTGTTATAAATATCAAAGTCCAGGTTTATGGAGCATATACACTCACCGCCCACTTTATTAGGTACCCCATGCTAGTAACGGGTTGGACCCCCTTTTGCCTTCAGAACTGCCTCAATTCTTTGTGGCATAGATTCAACAAGGTGCTGGAAGCATTCCTTGGGGAGTTTGGTCCATATTGACATGATGGCATCACACAGTTGCCGCAGATTTGTCGGCTGCACATCCATGATGCGAATCTCCCGTTCCACCACATCCCAAAGATGCTCTATTGGATTGAGATCTGGTGACTGTGGAGGCCATTTGAGTACAGTGAACTCATTGTCATGTTCAAGAAACCAGTCTGAGATGATTCCAGCTTTATGACATGGCGCATTATCCTGCTGAAAGTAGCCATCAGAAGTTGGGTACATTGTGGTCAGAAAGGGATGGACATGGTCAGCAACAATACTCAGGTAGGCTGTGGCGTTGCAACGATGCTCAATTGGTACCAAGGGGCCCAAAGTGTGCCAAGAAAATATTTCCCACACCATGACACCACCACCAGCCTGAACCGTTGATACAAGGCAGGATGGATCCATGCTTTCATGTTGTAGACGCCAAATTCTGACCCTACCATCCGAATGTCGCAGCAGAAATCGTGACTCATCAGACCAGGCAACGTTTTTCCAATCTTCTATTGTACAATTTCGATGAGCTTGTGCAAATTGTAGCCTCAGTTTCCTGTTCTTAGCTGAAAGGAGTGGCACCCGGTGTGGTCTTCTGCTGCTGTAGCCCATCTGCCTCAAAGTTCGACGTACTGTGCGTTCAGAGATGCTCTTCTGCACACCTTGGTTGTAACGGGTGGTTATTTGAGTCACTGTTGCCCTTCTATCAGCTCGAACCAGTCTGGCCATTCTCCTCTGACCTCTGGCATCAACAAGACATTTCCGCCCACAGAACTGCTGCTCACTGGATGTTTTTTCTTTTTCGGACCATTCTCTGTAAACCCTAGAGATGGTTGTGCGTGAAAATCCCAGTAGATCAGCAGTTTCTGAAATACTCAGACCAGCCCTTCTGGCACCAACAATCATGTCACTTTCAAAGTCACTCAGATCACCTTTCTTCCCCATACTGATGCTCGGTTTGAACTGCAGGAGATTGTCTTGACCATGTCTAATGCACTGAGTTGCCGCCATGTGATTGGCTGCTTAGAAATTAAGTGTTAACGAGCAGTTGGACAGGTGTACCTAATAAAGTGGCCGGTGAGTGTAGTTGTTTGTTGTCACGTGTAGAAACCAACCAAGACTCCTGCTTTTGTCCTCCCATCCGAACCGATACCATCCGTACCCTCACCTTTAAACGATGATGTTAGATATAGGATACAAATGCCAAAAAAAAACAAAAAAAAAACATTCTAGGGCAGAAATGTATTCAAATGAATAAGATTTAAAACTCAACAAGACTGATTGCTAGATTTAAATAGGACAGTGTTTAAACTAAGTAAAAGTTTAAAGGTTTTTGTCAACATTTAATATTTTTTTCTAAATGATGAGGGCGTTTTTATAGGATATATGCAGCATGACCTAAAGGAGAGGAGTTTAAGACTTTAAATATGCACTGTAGCAATGGGGCAGAGCGTTGAACCGAACAGACCCTGGAAGAGCTGACCTGGCTAATCTTTAACATGCTTGTGTTTTCATGGGGAAGTCTCCCAAGTAACGTTCAGCCTGGTACAGTTTTATACACATAGAGGCTACAGACATATTCTCCTGCTGTTAAGAAACTTGAAAACTAGGTCTGCGGATGTGTTTGACCATTAAATCCTGGCCCCGGAGCGGTTCTGGAAATGCCTAACAAAGCTCAAGAGGTACGTTTCAAGCTCAGCATGCTTCTGTGAATGCTACAGCTTTTTTCAAGTTTTTCTATTTCTATTTTTATTTTTATTTTTTTCTGAATTAGGATGCTGTGATCAACCTAAAGACGCTGCAGGAGATATCCAGGCAGCTGGGTTTTGAGTGGACTGTTCTGGCTTCTGAACTGGGTTTCAGCAGAGCTGAAATAGGCCGGTTTCACACCAGATCGACAGAGAGGAGCGTGCAGACCAGGCTCATGTTGGAAAGCTGGTACTCTGTGTGATTTTATGTGCAGGTGTATGAACCACCCTGAAATAATCATTAAGATTTCAGCTTTATTTTTTACCTTGTAACACTGGATCCTGTATAGGATAAAAATCATGGTACATTTTGCATCACCCTCCCTTTCTCTTAATATTGGATTGATCACTAGGTATGAGAGGTCATGGGACAAACCCAATAAGACCAAAGTGCTCCAAGATGGATTGGATCGGGCGGGACGGCGTGACCTTGCAGAGAAGCTGCGCTGCCTCCACTGGGGTCACCAAAAGCTGAGCAAGAAGGTGGAGCTGCCCTCAGCCTTCCCTTTCATCATCACAGTCCATAAGACCATCAGTAACCACGACGCCCTGCGCAGAATCAACGACCTCAGCCGCAGATTCACTTAAAGAACGTCCAAAGTGCACGCATGCGGATCTGGTCCGATTCAATAACTTTATACACATTAAATATAGATTAAAATCACCAATGAAAGAAAAGCTGTGCTACATGTGGAGCTTCTTGTCTTGTAGGTAAATAGAAAAATTGCAACAAAGATGCAAAGCAGAATTATACTTTTATTTCTTCATTAGTTATGTGGATTTGCAACACTTTTTTGGTTACATGGACAACTTTGTCTCTTATTTGAATTTCAATGAACCCCAATGCTGGGTGTGTTGAATGCCTTCGAACCACAGTAAAATAAAGCAAATAGTTTTATTTTTCACACATTTACTATTCAATTACTTACTTTTTTTAATGAATGGCCAAAATAAATATATTTCTAAGCTAAAAAGTTTTTTTTTTTTTATAGATCTAAGTGATCTTTTCCCCTCAGGATTCGTTTTAACACACATTTTACCTCAAACTTTTAAAATGTTTTTTCAGGATCTTCATAAATTTTTAAGATTTCCTCACTGATCATTCTGCATCTGCTTTTCTCATTATTGCTTTCAACAGTAGATGAATTAATAGGACATTGCAGTTCATAATAAGAAGATATGATAAATAATACTATTCTGTTTAGCTACTTCATTTTAGTGAAACATGTCAATCTTTAATAGAGAAAAGAGACATACATATGCAGTAAGTTATGGAGGAATGTAAGAGAGGGTTAAATATTGGAGTGACTGGGGAGCAGATAACACAGCATTGAGGGCTATATATAATTTAGGAGACTTTAGCAGAAATATAGACTAGATTAACCTGAAAATATATTCTAATTTTGTAGGTGCCGTTATATAAAAGTTTTTTGTTATTACAATAGGAGTAAATGATAAATGCAAAGATCTATTAATGCCTGTTATTTTCACGGCAACGTTTCTTTCTTTTGTATGTGCATTGCACTGGAATAGAAAAAGGGAAAAAAAACTTTCAGGTTCCTCTAGGAGGGAATAATTTCCAGTCTGAACTCAAGATATCTAATCTTATTTCTTTGACATTATTTCAAACCATTCTAAAGAGCAAGTAATGTGACTATAAACCAGTCTTAATGTTCTTAAAATGTTGTGGTTGTTTTAGTCTTTTAAATGAGCGTAACAGATGAGTGTATAGAATGTAAAGTAATATAAAATGTAGAACATATATTACTAAATTGTAGGAAATATGATAAAGAAAGGATAAGATTAAAAAAAGACAAATAGGAAGGGAGTGGAATCTGGAAGGATTAATAGGAGCAACAGGAGAGGGGATACAGTATACAGAAAATACAGAAAGTTGTTATTAAGTATCATAAGAATATAGGATTATACAATAAGATTTAAAATATGTATATATACATATGTTGCAAAATGCCATTAAACTAACAGAGGTAGAAGAAGGAGGAGGAGGTAAGGAGAGTACAAATAAGGTAATTATAGATATTAATGTTTAAAGTTAATGTTAAAGTTTTAGTATAACAGAAATAAAGGGTATAATTAAACAGAAACAAAAAACAAAAGAGAGGTGGCAAAAGTTATGGGAAGAAGAAAAGAAAGGAAGGTGGTTCTATAAAATTTTTAATAGGGCAACATCAGACAGGGAAGATGAGCCAGTGGAACATGTTATTTTGGGTTGTAGGAAATATTTGATTCAGAGAAACAAGTTAATTAGGAAATTTGGTATTATTGATTTACTGCAAAATGAATCAGGAAGCAGAGGATATCAGGTTATATTTGAGTTTTTGAAACAGACTAAATTGTATAACAGGATATAGTTTTTGTTTGTTTGTTTGTTTTTTGCCATGCGATACACACTCCTTACCAGTTGGGGGCGGTAATGCTTACCTAACGTTTTTTTTTACCAACCGCCATAAAAAAATCAAGAAGAAGAATATAATCATCCACCAGATGATAAAAGCAGTTTTGTTTTTTGCCGGACAGCGCGTAATTCGGGCTTTAACGGTGCGAGTTTTACTCTGGAAGGTCCAGGAATGGCCTCATCGCTGGGTTTGTTCGCCGGACCGGAAGTGCTTGAGGACGCGAACCACGCTCGGGGTTTGATGAACGAGCTTAAAAAGATGTACGACTGCCGTTTGCTGGGCGACGTTACCATAGGGGTCGAGTGTGAAGAGGAGGAGGAGGAGGAGGAGGAGGAGAAGGTGTCACCGGAGCACAGCGGAGGAAGAGGAGGAGAAGGGGTTGAGGTTGGCCATTTGTTTCTTTGTAGCCGCAACGTCCTGGCCGCCGCCAGTCCGTACTTCAAGAGCATGTTCACGGGCGGGTTAACCGAGAGCGCCCAGGAGAGAGTCCTCATCCGCGGCGTGGACTCTGAGTCCATGTCGGTCATCATCGACTACTGCTACACAGGCAGGGTGACCATCACGGAGAGCAACGTGCAGAGGCTGTACGCGGCGGCCAACATGCTGCAGCTGGAGTACATCAGCAGAGTCTGCACCGACTTCATGAGCAGGAGGCTGGATCCCTCCAACTGTGTGGCGATGCTGAAGCTCGCAGACACCTACAACAACCCGGAGCTGAAGAAGAACGCCCAGGTGTTCATAGCCAGGAACTTCACCCAGGTGTGTAACGCTGGAGACCTCTGCGAGCTGAACTCGGATCAATTTAAAGAGCTGCTGTCTCTGGACACTTTGGACGTGGACTGCGAGAAGACTGTGTGTTCAGCAGCTGTTCAGTGGCTGGAGGGGAATGCAGCGGTGGATAAAGAAGAAGCTCTGCGGGTGCTGAAGTGTGTGCGCTGGAGCCTGTTCAGCGAGGAGGACCTGGAGAGCCTCAAAGAGAGGCCTCTGATGGAGACCTACCTGTCATCCTTTTTCAGGACGTCTTCAGAGGGGGGCTGCAAGGTGCCCGCACCTCTGGACGTGCAAAAACACAGGATAGGTGTGAGTGCAAAAGAGATGATTCTCTTTTTTGGCCGGCCTAACGAAGTCATAATGTGCTGCGAACCTTACTCAGAGGATCTTTATATCATGTCTCCGGCTTCCGTGCCTTTCACTAGTCAAGAATACAAAAGCTCCAATACAGCGCCTGTTATCGCTTGCTCCACGCCTGATAACAGCTTGTATTTAACGTCCCACCTTTCCAAGCAGTTCTGGGTGTATAATCCTGTCCTCAATAGATGGCAGGAGTTGGCAGAGAGGCTGCTGGGCAGAATCCACGCTGGGATGGTCTATCTGAATGGTCACATCTATCTTCTGGGAGGAAGAAATCCAATTACAGATATCAGATTGAAGGAGGTGGAGTGTTACAGCATCCAAAGGAACCAGTGGATGTTTGTGGCGCCTCTGCCTCACTATTTGGGTAAAATGCAAGTGGTGGCTGTGAATGATCACCTGTACGTGCTCAACAAAAGGAGAATGCTCTGCTACGACCCCAAGAAGAACCACTGGCTTCAATGCGGGTCACTCAGGAGAGACAAGCTTCACAAGGCCTGCATCTTCCAGGAGCAGATCGTCTGCGTGTGCGACATCCCCGTGATTAAAGCTTACAGCCCCACCAGAGGGGAGTGGAAGAGGTTTGGGGACATTCCCATGGAGAACGGAGCAGTGAACTACCAGGTGATCCAGCACAGAGGGAAGCTGTTGCTGCTCACGCACATGTTGCACCGGAATGACAGGGACAGGGTCCTCATCCACGAGTACGACCCCAACCGGGACGCGTGGAAGAACCTCATGGCAGTCTACGTGTCCGCTATGGGACCGGTGTGCGTGTCGACGCGTGTGTACCCGGTGTTCCTGCGGTCTGGTCACAGATTCTCCACAGAGGAGGACGATGACAGCGGCTCCAGTGCTGACTGGGACCCAGATATCCTAACGGATGCTGAGTCTGATTCAGGCAGCTCCAGTTCCTTCTCTGATGAGAACATGCAGTGAGCTGAAAGACTACCTGTCCATTTTTTTTATTTATGCATTTGTACGACGGAGTATTGGGGCCAGGCTAGAGATTTTTTTTATTGATATATATATGGGTTTTATATTTTATGTTCTTTGACAATCATACAAGTTTTGTATCACAAATGAAGTACTCTTTTTATATAAGTTTGTATCGAAGCAGGAACATGTTTTTTTTTTACACTGTGTCCATGAGCTCTGGGGAGGGTCAGAAGCTCTGGGGAGGTAACAGATGAAGCAGTGATTGGTACCAGGTACTGGGCTTGATGTAACTTGTTTTTGTATCTGATCATTATGTAATTTTGTTTTTGGTTTCGGCTGTCCACGAGCCCTGGGTGGGTTCGGGGGACGCCGGTTCCATATTTTGGTTTCTGTAATCATGCGCTCCAGGTGTGAGAGGGAGCGGTCACTTTTCCTGATTGAGTGAAAGATTTTACTTTGAAGTGTGGCATAAATCGCGGGGGCTTGTTGACACCGGTGGGGTCTGCTAGGGTTGCGTACGGACGCCTAGCTGCGTGGGTTGCTGCCCTGCCGGGATCGACCGGCCCTCCGATCCTTGTGTCACGTTAGGGGGACAATATAAATTTTATTCAGCACTGTGCCTTGATTGATGTGCTTGCTTTGCTGTTTTCTGTGGCAAAATAAAACGACACATTTTAATTCTAGCAGAAACAGCATACGATGGCCGACTAGCACCACCAAACAGCAACCTGAGGCCACTTTGACATCCTGCTAAAAATTCCCTTATTTGTCAAACCACAGCCAAAGTGTAAATTCACATGATGCTCAACATTCCTCATTTTAGAGAAGAAAGTGCTTCTTGTTTCTCATAATTTTAGGACTTTATTCTCTTAATATTATGACTTTATTCTCGTAATTTTATTTATTCTAATAATTTTACGACTTTATTCTCGCAATTTTACGACTTTATTCTCATAATTTTATTTATTCTCCTAATTTTACGACTTTATTCTCGTAATGTTACGACTTTATTCTTGTCGGGACTTTATTCTCGTAATTTTACAACTTTATTCTCGAAATAGAAGAAAAAAAATCTCTAGCCTGGCCCTATTACTCCGTCATACATTTGCATTTAACCTCGTTTAGACTGATTTTTAAAAGCTCTTCATCCTCATCCTAACTCCTTCAAATGTCGCTAAACGGGATTGTCAATCACAGACTTTTCCTTGGATTCTTCTAGTCATTCCAAACCATTCTGTTGGAGCTCCAGTGTCCTAGTCGTTTACAGAGCACATCTCAGTACCTTTGCTTTCTGGCTGATTTTTTTTGACCACTTTTGAATGTTGATGGGGCTTTCACACTCATGGTAGCGTGAGACAGACATTCTTTTTGAAATGACGAAACTTGTTGGTAATCATAATCTCTTTATAACACCACTTCTACCAGATCGGTTCTTGCTTTTCCTTTGTGACGGAAAAAGATTACCGCTCTTTTCAAAAGAACAACAATGTCTGTAAAATTCTGAAGCTGCTCTGCTACTTGACATCAGTTACTGATCAATGTTTGATCAGGCTGTTAATTTTTTAATATGCTTTACATTTATTTATTTATTACATGCTAACGCTGGAACTTGATAGGACAAAATATGTGCAAAGGGGACATGGGATGTATCCACGACTGTATTTCCAAGGCACTATAGATCTAGGCCAATTATTTCTCATTATCAATAATGGATATTATTAGATTGACCTGTGTAAAAATTTCCCTTTTTATTGCTTTAATTTAGACTCTCAGTTCTGTTCCTTTTTTTTTTTTCAATATACTTTAACACACTTTCTTTGGATTGGTGAAAAAATAGCTTTCAAATTTGCGGTTTAAATGCTTCTTAATTATGACTTTAAACAAAACTGGACAAAGCAAAGGGGCTTTTTTCTATATTGCTGATGTGATGCCTGATTCAGACAGAGGTTGGAACCCTTTTTAGTGTAAACCATAGAGCAAAGGTTTGGTGTGTTCTCTCAGGTTTGGGCTTCAAAAGCCTCCTTGCCATTTTTGACTTTTCATTACTTTGACATGAGAGCGGCTCATTCTTGTGATGCATCTTTAGCTTTAGTATCTGTATTCCAAAACGTTCTGAGCAGTGTCTGGTCCAATGAGCTGGGAGATGTTAGACAGAAAGCTGTTGCTGGGACCTTTAAATTTAAGAAATGCAACAGCGAACAACCAGCTCCAACTATTACGGTCCTGATGTGATTACCCAGAAGATATCACTGCATTTCAAAAGGGACAATGGAGCTAACATGTCAAAGATTTGGAAGTGTTTTTGTTGTCAAACATGTGTCAAACATCTGTGCTCAGTATTATTTAAAAAAAAGTCCTCATGTCTTCCTGTCTTTGAGTTAAACAATCTGCTTTCCTACACAGTCTGAACAGAATGTAGAGTTAAGGAGATCTATGTGTTGATGTTCTAGAAGAAATATAAAAAGAAAAAAAAATAGTGACTTTAAATTTTAATGGAATGTATTGTCAAAAACTTGCCCTTTCTAAAGAATAAAGAACAGAAAAAGCTGAAGTAACCACAAAAAAAAAAAAAGTTAATTCAATGTCATAGTTTAGGAGCTAGGAACTCGGAGCCCAGATGCTCATATAGCTTTATAGCTGTATCTGATACAGTTTGGAGTGGGGATCCTGTATTTATGATGCATAAAATAGTATAAACATTTGTCATTTAATTTCATTGTATAGTATAAACAATGTCATTAATCATTCCCATGATTAAAAAAAGAACCAAAACGAGAAATATTGAAATGGAAAATGCAAAAACAAAAAGTGAAAGGTTAAAAAGGACTAACTAAAAAGTCAAGAAATTAACTTATAACATATGTTTGCTTTGTTAACTTAGTAAAATATTTAGCAAGAGCCAACAAGGGCAAGTAAACCTAAGCTCAGTTTTAAAGTTATGTTTGATCAAAACTATGTGATGTTGAAAGGGCATGGGCTGATATGAGATTCTTTCTGTATGATGGGTGAACAATGAATAGTTTTCCAGTATCATTAGAATCTAGACAATCAGCCATTACAACTAAGCAAGTCGATCAAATAAGATCATATTAGGTTAGTCGGTCAGATATCTGCTTCACAGGCCAATCTGTAGTCAGCTGCCCAACAGACAAAATACTAGCCAACTTCAGTCTCATCATTGAGTTTGATGGAGGTGCTCCTTTAGTTTTAGTACCATGAGAAAATATCAAATGCTTCAAAACATAAAAATATCCCTTTTTCTAAGGGAGAGAAAATGTAAAACAGCCCTCTGTCAGCCAGCAACAGGTGGAGGAGGGAAACCACTGCAATGAACCATAGCTTTACAGCTATAAACCATACATATCCAAGGAATACCTTTTCTGGCAACCCTTTCTTTATTTTAACCAGAGGAATTTTTTTTTTAATATTAAATGAAACTTTACTCTTAAATGCTTAGTATGACATATTTTTTTTTCTATTTTTGGTCTAGAATTCCAAGCTGTCAATCAAAAATCAAAAAAATATATCTGTATTTTACATTTTTCTTGCACACAGTTGTGGGATGTACACTACTCAAAAAAAATTTAAAGGAACACTTTGTAATCAGAGTATAGCATCATATATAGCAAGTTAATTAAACTTCTGGGATACTGATTTAGTCAGGTAAGTAGCACAGGGGTTGTTAATCAGTTTCAGCTGCTTTGCTGTTAATAAAATTAACAACAGGTGCACTAGAGGGGCACCATCAAATAACGAGACGACCATTAAAACAGGAATGGTTTTACAGGTGGAGGCCACTGACATTTTTCACCTCATCTCTTCTGATTCTTTCACCAGTTTTGCATTTGGCTAGGGTCACTGTCACTTCTATTAGCATGAGGCGCTACCTGGACCCTACAGAGGTTATGCAGGCAGTCCAACTCCTCCAGGATGGCACATCAATACGTGCCATTGCCAGAAGGTTTGCTGCGTCTTAGGGAAAGTAATTGGACATATAAGATGAGGAACATGCAATTTACTACATCAAGACGGTGACAAAAATAAAAAAAAGCAAATCTTATATTTACATATTGAAATGAGAATATATTTTTTTCAAACAAGAAAGCAAGCATGCCATCAGATGATTCAATTCCATCATTCTTCTCGGGCTTAATCCATCAGGGTCTCATTGGGGCAGGTGTTATGCTGGAAAGTGCATGCCTGCCGAGATATGCATCCCCAATCGCGGGAGCGCGCCTCGCTCTGTACTACTGCGTATCGACGAGGAAAACTGATTAAATATGACCAATGGAGCTACTTGTTGTTATATTAATGATATAAAAAAGTTTAAATATACCTCTCATGGGAAAATTTGTGGTTATTTGGCAGATTCATTTACAAAAGTACGGGTGTTATGAACAACATTAAATCCATTTATTTTAATCCGTTTTCCTCGTCGATATGCAGTTGTACAGAGCGAGGCGCGCAGGCATGCAATTTTCGGCATAACACCTCTGTCTATCTGTGGCAGTCTATGGGCGAGACGCAGGATAAAGCACACCACCTAAAGATGTATGTAGATATGGATTTGTTAGTTGGGTTAAAACGTATTAATGTTTACTGTTAACGTGTGACGTCAGGATGGCCGAGCGGTCTAAGGCGCTACGTTCAGGTCGTAGTCTCCCCTGGAGGCGTGGGTTCGAATCCCACTTCTGACAACACCTTTTAACTTTGTGTCGTTCCTCTTTTTTTTTTTTTCTTCCATACCGTACCATAAAGATTTCTAACTAAAGCGTTTTGATATAAGGGGAGGGGGGCAATGTGAAATCTATCGTAAACGAAATCGCTCACCTTTACAGTCAGGTGCCTATAGTTTAGCAGAGACTATTCAAAAGTTTTCTACAATTTAAATAGAACCAAATGTAATGTAATGTGTTTATTTGACCATTAAACAGATTTCGATCACAAACCACAGCACATTCTAGCTATATCATTTTTAGTTCCTGTTGATATTTTTTATTGGCTGTGCAAAATGGTCCATTTCTCCTAGTGGACGTCAAAGTTCCCACTTCCTGCAAACAGATACAAAATAAACGTTGTTTTGGTTTACATCGTTAAAAAATAGGAGTTTCTAACCGTCTTTTCTGTTATAAATGGGTTGCTCCGCTTTGTTTTGCGGTATAAGCTTTCTCCTAAAACGTAACGGAACATGTTGTGGTGTAAAGTGGACCAACAGCGCCCCCTGCTGCCGTATACTTGCATAACACCAATGTTTATTTCACAGCCATGTAGTGGCGTAAATAGCAGAGACTACAGTTGCTTAGGGGCCCCGTCACTGACTCTTGGTAGGCTCCATATGCAATCGTGGACTAGGACGTCTCTTTGCAGATGTAATGGTGAGAAAAATTTCTCTTAAACCCACCTAATACTACGCTAACTGACTGGACCGTATTCTAGGGACAAACTCTGCCATATTTAAAAATGAATACAGAAATACATAAATGCTCCAAAAATAAATAAGCATACAATAATTGCCCCTCAAAAATACAATTAATAAATGTTGGTAGAAATTAAATTCTACAGTGAGACATACATGT